CAAAAAATCCCAAAACCACCTAAAAATGATTGAACAATTAATATTTTTAAACACTAATAATTAGTGTAATTATCACATTATTAATATATTTTAAATAAAAATATTATATACTCACCATTAAAACAATTAATATATATGTTATATTATATAATTTTCAAACATTAACAATAAATAATATTTTATTATATATAATTTGACTATTAAAAACTGAATCCCTGAAATACAATTTACGTTTCCTATATATACAGTATTTTCGTTTTATTTATTTATTTTTATTATTCAATGTGTCACAATATAAGGAAACAGTTTTATAATTAACTGTGGTCTGTRAGTAACTACAATCAAACTATTGTTTAGCAATTATTTTAATTTTATAATAATAAAAAAATAATAATACTGTATCTATAAAGTACAACTTATAAAGACGGCTCATAATAATCATATATTTACATTATCGTTAAAATATTATAGGAAATTTAATAAGTTAGGTTATACTCATTACTTATAAAAGGATGCCACGATTGCATGTGTTGTTTCCGTCTTACTAGTCTAGGTTTAGTCTTACTTACCTATCTAGGTTAWCAMATGGACTTTTATTATATGTGGTGAGTCATGAGTATTTTTTAAATTGTAAATTATTTGTAGATCTTAAATTAATTGTAACTCACTTTAAAATTAAAATATATTATATACTATAAAACCTTATGATAACCTAGATAATCATGTTGACTATAATTTATGTGAGAGGTCGATTCGTTCTAAATTTTCAGCTACACGTGAACTACTGAGTGTAAAATTTGGTATGTTACAAAAATAAAATAAATATAGTCAAGTACGAAAAAATGAAAAAATTGTTTTCAATTTCAAATGGTTCTCAGATAAAATAAAGACAACATTTTTAAATCAAATTATTCAAAATTAATTATGAAAGATTTTCAATTTATATTTATATTAATTAATAAAAAAGAAGCAAAGARTAAAACGATTTTATGACGAAATCCTCAAAGATTATTACTTTACTTCAGCAGAAGAACATTTCAAAATAAGTATATTTTAATTAACATTGTATAGTGCAATAATAAAATTCAAAGAACGTTTTACCAGTTTAAATAACGTATTCGAAATATAGAAATTACAAAATGGACATTGTTAAAAGCAATTATTGTTGAAATACTCGTTATACGGTTATACCTCACATTAGCTATTAGCACAACATTTTCTGAAATATRTAGGTAAAGCATGTATGTTRTAATCGACACTTTCTGTAACAGTTGCTACTGAACGTTCATTATCAAAATTAAAATTAATCAAAAATTATTTACCGAGCACAACTTGTGAAGAAAGATTCATAAATGGACTTAAAATTACATCTATTGAAAACGATTGAGCTCGTGTAAGAGTAATAATTCATAATTTTGCAGAAAAAAACATTCAATTGAAATTTTCATTGAATTATATTGTAACTTATAAGGTTATCTTTTTTTTTATTTTATTAATAAAAAATAAAATTTTGGTGATGTAGGCAATTGGGTTGCATATTATACTTATCATTATCAATAGATTTGATATTTTGTTTGTATGTAATTTTATCTTATTTTCTTCGTAATTAAAATTTTGATAAAAATAGAAAGTACCTGTAGATTTGCACAGATTTTATAATTTTAGGATAAAAATAAATTATTTCTTTAAATTTGAATTTATATATCTTTATCTATATTATTTCGAATAAAAAGATGAAGGGAGGGTATTTTTCAATTTCACACATACGCCTCATTGGGCTAAACCRCCACTGGCACCCGCCTTCATTCAGTTGGATGGACAAAAAGTATACACAAATGAGTATAATTTGTTTATCTTTCACTCGTTGCCTTGTACATGTGGGTAAGGTAACGCTCCGCTGTTTCTTTTAATCGCAGTCACACATACTAATGAACACTTACTAAGTACACATTTACAAGACCCGCATGAATGCAATTTGAAAATTGCCTATATCTCTAACTCYTTATTCAAAACTACCATTCACCGATTCCCCTAGTAACATCAATATCTGCKTGGCGATAGAATATTGGCGGTCGTGAACCTAGCTGGTGATATGACTGCTGTTATAATATTCAGAATATTTTCTAGGAAATATTGATCATCGAAAACGATTACATATTATAAGATTTGAGCGCACTGTACGTTTACTTTGCACTCATTTACTAGTCACTTTAATTTTATTACCTATTATATTGAATTTCCTATATTCATTTCTTTAAAAAACGACTAACTATAATTATGTAAGCCCCTTAAATAGYCATACCGTATTCAAAATTTAAATTTGATTTCAAAGCTGCAGGTTCTTTAAAAACAATTATATAGATAATCTATGAATAGGAATCTTATTTGTATTTAAAAAAAAATAAAAAATAAAAATATATAAATTTGTTTTACTTCCTA